TTTTGTTTATTTCGTTAAAAACAAATGTAAACATTATATTCTGATCTCGCCTTGTAAACCGCCATTTTATAATTGATACATTTTGGCATTTCATTCCGGTCATACTCTCACACTTTTATTAATGATTCTATATCTACCATTTTCCTAACGCCATTCTATTTCTTCCTTCATTATTAAAATCAATGGCGTTTCACCTTTTAAGCCATGAAAATTTTAATTTATACGTTTGTAATTTAAGATTTCACTCTTATTTATGATCCTATATCCACCATTTGCCTCACTCACGCCATTCCTCTTTCTTATCCGTTTGTTTATTTCGTATAACGCGAATGTAAACTAACTTCGAACTCAATTCGTCTCATCTTTTAAATCGTGATTTTATAATTCATACGTCCCCCCGGTTGCCTCTACTGCTAAAGCCCCATACGCAAGCGAATTATTGAAATAATAATATGTTAGTCCCGAAATGACCTGCCCCCCCCTCTCTCTCTCTCTAAAGCGTTTGAAAAACCCATCTTAAATTAGTTTTCTCAAATAAGATTGGTATAAGTCATTTGATTATTTCAAATATTATTATCTAATTGTGGAAAATATATCAAAAACCCAACATTATTTATCGCGTCAATATCAGAAACTCCGCATTATTTATGGAATCATTATTATTTGTATTAGGTATTAAAATGTAACTCTGGTTGCAAGTATAATAATCTCTTGTGGTTTTCATTCATTCATTCATTCAAGAATAAATAAATATGAGAAAACTTAAAGATTCAACTAAAACAAATTATTTAAAGGGTAAACATGAATTACCCCCCCCCCCCAAAAAAAAAAAAAAAAAACAAAACAAAAACAACCCTTAACCTAATATTTAGCTAATATCAAATGACATATCTTTTTAATTTTAATAGGCTTATATTTAAATATTTAAAAATAAAACGATATTGTCCTAAAGCCTATAGTTTGATAACGCCGAGAACACTGCGCTAGACGACTAGTTCGTTTCGCCGTCTTTTGTGCTTCAAATTTTAATCTCGTCAAAGAATGAGACATCTATGGTAGTCGATTCCCGCCGGGTGTTCGCCGTCGGATGAAAAAATATGTTAAAATAAAAATAATCTATCCTTAGACTCTTTTACACGTCGTATTAAAGACAGAATGTGAGTATGGATGTGTGAAAACTACCCTCTTTGTTGGCTGTTTAAGAAGGTGAATAAATTTGACAGTTGGGATTAATCATGATATATTAATTCTTTCGCGTGAATTCATTCTCGAATATCGTATTCTAATCATCAGTTCATCTCGCGCTACTACTCTATTCACTTGCTATTGTTAACCACCTTCCACTGACCACCTTTAATACCTCCTGACACAAATATCGGATTGTCCAATTGATTAAGAATAACGAAATACGAAATCATAATTTCCAACAAATTTCCTTTGAAAGAAACCTACTTTACATCGTTACTTACACGTCAAATAATTCACTAATAAATTTCGTAGTTTTTAATTCAAAATATTCATGGTGAATTTCTTCCAGTTATTCTGGTTTCAAGATTCTTAAAACATTTCGTTTTCCTGAAAGCATCCGGCGTGTGATTTACACGATTTTTTTATTCGTTTTTTCGAGTATGCAAGTCGTTTATCAGGATAATCATTTTAAACTTTTCTTTGTTCTTTTGTTGGTTCGGATAAGTAGATGATTCAAACAGAATTCTTCTCTAATCTTATTTCAAGTTTAAATAAATTTCTCGTTATAATTCAGCTAATGTCGAGGTTGTAAGCCAGCAATTTATTTCCTATTTCATTTTTATTCAGCAAAATCATTATCCATTCCGAACTAGCATATTAATCGCGTCAATTCCCAAGAAAATATTGACATCATTTAGCGAGTAAATTACATTTTTATGCTTCTTAGCTCCTTAGAAAATCTTAAAGAAAAACAAAACTTACTAACATACTTTGGCGACAAAACCGATCTCTTACAATCTGATTATAATACAGATCTATATTTAGTTTCGTTTCTTAATACTTTCGAATTATAAAAAACGAAACGAAATAGGATCTGTGTTTTAATCAGACCGTTCTTTTATATTTAAAGGAATTAAACGTCTTTGATTTAGACCCAAATAAAGACACAAAATGGGGTTTAACGTCCTACTTTTCTGTTCCGACTGGGCTAATGATCTGATGTATGTTTGCGATTAGCGATGGAACAAAAATCTTTTCGAAATCCGTTTATTTTTTTTACCTAGGTTTAGTTTCAACATTGGAACAACAAATCGGCTGTATCGCATCATTGACTCTATCTGAGAATCTAACATTTTAAATGTAGAAATATTCTCACCTCACAAAGCACATCGTGTTTACCCTAATCAAAAAGGTCTCGTAAGTTTTACCCTAATCAGAAAGGTCTGGATAAGTTTTACCCTAATCTAAGAGATCTGGTAAGTTTACCCTAATCAAGGAGGTCATCTAAGTTTTACCTAATCTAAATGGTCTGGAATTTTTAAATCACTAACAAAAAGTTGCTACTTTAACACAAAGACTGGACGTGGTTGTTTTTATAAAATATCGAAGCCTGGACATGGTTGGTTTTATAAATTAATAACATTACTGATACTTTAAGGATGGCACGCCATTTTACATCTGCTGGTAATACTTTTTAAAGGGCGTGTGACGTCCACATTGGGATTGGTCTACTCAAAATTAACCAAACCGCCCATAACGGACTACTTTTCTCATTTAAAGTGAGAGAGAGAAATGGGGTTTAACGTCCACTCGACACAAACTTGGTCATTTCGGGACTAACATATGGTTTTTAATTTTATTTCAATAATTCGCTTGCGCGTAGGGTTCTTCTCATTTAAAATACACAAACAAAGTCATATCGTATTATACTGTTCTTTTCAAAACTATTGAAATTCTAATATATTATAACAGTCTACGTCACAGGTGACACTTTTACAAAATCGATATACATCCATATTTGTTATCCCATCCACACTGGGGAAGTCTCCTCAATTTTAACCATAGCATTTCCTCTTTAGTCACGGTTTTGGACGGACTGTACGTTTCCCATTAAACATATACATCGTATATATTATACTTTTAAAAAATAAAGAGCTTTTAATATATTATAACAATTGACGTCATAGTTTTACGCACTCCATGTAAGATGATCATCTTGTCCAAAAATGAAGTCGTTTAACCGAGTGGGGTTTAAATTTGGGTCCATAAAATACGATAAACTATGGCCAGAATATGATATTATTATAGTACATGTAAACTACGCCAGAATATTATATTATACACAAACATAAAGACAGTCTGATTTTTATGAAGTTGGAGATAAATGAGACTCACCATGGGGTGTTTCCCACTCAATTAAAGACAAATACTCTTGAAAGAATATCGAACAATAGCGCGAGAACTTTCGGTAATTTAGGGAGCAGTTATTGACCCGGAAGAAGGTGAATATTTGGCCCCTTGGAGAGAAATAACGCCGTGTTTAAATTCAATATATGCTCCCCTGCTGGTGTTTTCGAGTTATTTTTTTTGATACATTTGACTCTTGAGTGGGTAATCTGTATCAAGATTTGTCTTCTTTCAAATTCGGGATAATATGACTGAAGATTCGTTTTGTTATCCGTCACATGTTTATGATAAATAACCGAATATCAAATGATAATATCCTCGCCTTATTATCTCCCACAAAATCATTCCCTATTCAAAATTTTTAAGATTAAAACCTTTTATTATATTAATATAAAAAACAAAATGGCCGACAATTAACTTTTGAATAAACCAATGAATTTTCATTCATGAAAGAAAATTGTTAGTCTATAAATATGAGAAGTACATTACAAAGCTCATAACTTTATTAACAGGCATCCAGTCAGAAAATTTGCATCATTAGGGCGACCTTGGTTGATTTTAAACATCAAAGAAATCTTGTTTTACGCCGCATGTATGATAAACTAATAAAATTAAAATTTCGACATAAACAAACGAGTGACTATACCTTCGATGTTCTGCACCGTTAACAGTGCACGTGGTGTATACGCATATTTAGTATAAATATACATATATAAACATTCTTTATAAACCATCCCAATCTTTCAAATATTATTCCATCGCATGCATGTGTGGTTATATGTACTTTGTAATATTTCATTCATTTAGTATATACACTCCCCTGTTCATTTGTATCAATAATATGTATATATACGAATTATGTAGAGACGGTTTACATAGGCTAATTCTATTTCCAGCAATAAAGGCTATATTATGCAAGATTTTCTCCAGATGAATTCGGGTATAAGCTGTATTAGAATATTATCAAGTATTGTGGAGCCAGCATCTCCAGTGACAACCAAATAAAATCATTTTTATTATTCATTAACCATCTCCAGTGACGACCAAATAAAATCATTTTTATTATTCTTTAACCGAATTAATTCTAAAAAGAAAGATATTCATTCTGCTCCTTATAAACTTGTGATACACAACTTGTTTCTTTTTAAAACTTGTCTATATAATTGCTCTACACATTTGTTACTGTACTTGCTTGAAAACGTTGAGAGAGAGAGAGAGAGAGAGAGAGAGAGAGGGAGGGTTTAACGTCCACTCGACACAAACCAGGCCACTTCGGGACTAACATATGGTTTAGTTTTATTTACATAATTCGCTTGCGCGTAGGGGTCTTTAGCAGTGGGAGGAAACCGGAGGACCCAGAGAAAACCCACGAGGTTGGACAGGCGACCCTACTCCTTGTCACGTACAACCGGGGATTCGAAACCACGCCAGTCGACTCAATGACAGGCACGCTAACCATTCAGCCCCCCCCCCCCTCAAGCGTTGAGAGAATGTCGCACAAATAACTTAAGTCATTGTTCTTCCATAAGTATGTGTTATAGTTTATTTTAAGACCCATAACCAGAATGTCATATTTAAACTCCGATCCTTCCAGAAACGAAATGACTAAACGGTAGATGGCTTACCTTGACTTGACTTTCTGACATGCCCAAAGCGTACGCTAATCTTGCTCGTTCCGGTCCAGCTAGGTATTTCGTCTGTTCAAAAGTTTTTTCCAGGGCGAAAATTTGTTGCCCAGAGAAGGTGGGTCTCGTGTGTTTCTTTTTACCATCTTTATCCACTACCATCGTACTCTGGTTGGCTGAAAAACGCGAACAGGAACCTGTCAAGAAAAGAAAAAGTAGGTTTTAATATGGGGATATCTAAATTCTACAACATCTGAGCAACAAAACGAAACGAAATGATTTGAATTAACCAAATTATATATACGTGTATTTAATCACCATCACCGCCTCTATGACAAAAAATAAATAAATAAATATTGAAATCCAAAACATCTTCATTCATAATGCACTATATTCGTTAATACTAAGAATCAGTATTTAAAATTCGCGAAATATTTGTGTTAACAACCAAAACCACTGCTTAAAAGAGAAAATTGACAATTCGTTTTCTCGTGTCATTGCTAATCATTGTTATTCATAATTCGATATATTCGTTGAGAGGAAAATTACCAAAATCCATTAATATGTGCTTGTGTCATTGCTAAATATAGGTATACACAATTCGCTATATAATAAAACATTTATTAATATTAAATGGTTTTCTAAACATCGGTATTCACAAAAAATTAATATTAAATGGTTTTCTACACATCGGTGTTCACAAAACATTAATATTAAATGGTTTTCTAAACATCGGTATTCACAAAACATTAATATTAAATGGTTTTCTAAACATCGGTGTTCTCAAATGGTTTTCTACACATCGGTGTTCACAAAACATTAATATTAAATGGTTTTCTAAAACATCAGTGTTCACAAAACATTAATATTAAATGGTTTTCTACAGATCGGTGTTCACAAAACATTAATATTAAAGATACATTATGGGCGATTAGATAAAGAGCTGGCAGTTCTCACTATAATAGTTACAAATAAGATAATGTAAAGGGAATTTGCTGAAAATTTCAGTCAAATTGATCAACTCTGAACCGAGAATTTAGCGATTGAATTTTAGGCCTAGCCTCGATCATCACTACTAAAGTCAGTACAATAAAAAACATAGTCTCGATTATCCACGTTTTAATTTAAGCACCAATGATCATTGAGCAGCAGATCGGATTCCAGTCCAGTAAATATCGCAGACTAGCGTTGACATCGAGAGTTGATTATGGTCTGGATAAGTTAATAAATGTCTAATTAATACTTTAGATAACATTTCAGGCCTAACGAAAGACCTGCAATAGGCAGTTTTATTGCTTGTGTCATTTCTAAATACCGACCAATAATCTGACAAACAGAACATCGATTATTTATTGAAACTCTCTATTCATACTCTGTCTAATTATCGATTATCAATCAGTTCCCTAAGATCTTCCATGAGAAAAAGTATCGATTACATGAATTGCTTTTTATGGTTGATTGATTTTGATTCCGCTACATATCAATCAAACAAATAACGATCGGTTTAAACGACTCTGTCTGCAAATGTCTGTACTTTTTACTGGTGAAATGAAAATTGTGTTTTCTGTGGTAAATTTGACCCTAAACCCTTCGTCTGAAAAGGTCATCTTTGTTGTTTTCATCAAAGACAACAGACTTCAAAAACGAAACAAGTGGTCAGCCAAATTTTATTTATTTTATTAAATATTCATATTGACTGCGGAGTTCAGAAAAAAGTCATTGCTAGAATAGATAATTAATTTTTAGTCCCATCCGAACGACTAGGCTACATTTGAATAACTCTTGCTGTTTATAGCCATCTATAATACGGTGATTGTTATTCGTTTCCTGAAATAAACACATAATAAGCCTTTAATATACCCACGTCAAGTAACATCATTGACGATTGGATGGCGACATTGTCATGACACCGTGATGACATGACGGATGACAGTCGACAGAGACCCAATATAACTGACACATGGGGAGTATTTGTGTGGCACGCCATTGACATGACATTTAATTGCCGTGTTTTGGGTGGTCCCTATCGACAAGTTGTGGTCAATCAACTAGAAAGGAAAAGATTGTGGAAATTAAGTCGCGGCCTTAAACACATCAGGAGTGAATTCGCAGAGATCAAAAGAAGTTATTTAAAGTAGCAATTTTCTTATTTATTTATTTATAAAAGGAAAAGGAGTTTAACGTCCTACTTTTCTGCGCCAACCGGAATAATAAAAGTTTACATACGCCATGCAGTGTGTTATTAACACAATTTTGGTTGAACAGTGCGTCCGTTGATACAATTTAGTTTTAGTTTGTGGATGGCCAATACATGTATGTTTTAATTCTAGTTCAAGACTGAAAGTGTTTGTTTTTTTATAAATCAATATTGCTATTTTAACAACTAATTGATTTAGCACTATTGTTGTTTTATCAAACCTTAATTATTCAAAACTAAAATCAAATATAAAGCGTTTTGTCTGTATCTGAATTGTCTTCAACTTATTGTGTCTGAAAAACACGTGTACGAAACTATGGTGTGCAAATTTCTTGTTATAACCATAGAAAATAATATTATAATAGACTGTATAAGAAGTCGTAAGTCTACACAGTTGCACTATTTGCACTGCATCGTCGGTAACGTATTATGTCTGAAAACATAATTACGAAACTAGGGTTTGCACAAGTCAACTAGCATTCATAACAGTCATATAAAGCCTAAGTCTATAACGTTGTACTATTCGTATTTATCGTATCTGAAAAACATAATTACGAAACTATGCTTTGCTGTCTACATACTCGTTGTGCCACGTGACACTAGCCATCAGTTTAAATCTGTACGTTTATTGACAAGAGCGCGCATTAAAACAGCCGCCTATAAATAATATAATTTTACTAGCACAGCAATTAGAGTTGTGTTAATATAATAAGCCGTGCAATACAACCTCTACTTGCGATTTATTATGGCTACAAATCGTATTAAGCGCGAACAAACTGTCCATAATGGATGAATAAGTCTAACCAATTGATCACTGATCACTGGAGAAAAGAAGCTTTGTTCCTATCAAGGGGTTTAAAGGTCGTCTTCCACTTGATGGTAGAGACACATAAATGAAATACGGTTTAAAGTCATACTAATTTAGCACCAATGGAGCTAATGAAGACGGACATACGTCATACAGTGTAGTATTTTACCCAGGCAGCGGCGCTAAAGCCTACTCTTATATCAAATTCCAAATACCAAGGGATCTTTTACGTGCACGCCAATGTATACACGTTACCTCGGTTTGTCGTCCCATCCAATCGGAATGCACCACTGACAAGGAGAAATCACGCCCTAAGAGATATCACAAACACATGTTTCCGACGAAACTTGCTATAGAAGGCCATTCGTGTACTCAATGCCCGAATTAATGATGTATAGTAACGCAAACACTACCCAGGTCCAGTACTTGGAAAGGGAACACTGCTCAGATCAATTGTTTTGAACAAGAATCCAATATATTGTGAATGGGAACTCTGCTCAAATGCAGTCTACCCATCCGTATAGTACGACCTTTAAACCTGCAATAATTATTGATTATATTCGAGTGATATTCAAGCCAGCGATCAATACAATAATACGATTAACACAACAATCCGCACCCAGAAACCTTTTAATCTGGGCTATTTGTCTCATTTGTCACTTATAATCGGTTTTTATTCATCGACAAACGACGTTCTACTTCTAAATATATCATAGTTACAACCATCATTGTTACAAACTATAAATATGCTTTACTCACACCAAATAACAATTAGTTCCATACGAACATAGAGGCGAACAACGTTTGGTTTAAGAACGAAATTACCCCCCCCCCCCAGCACAAAGCACGTCCAATCCCTGGGCATCATGATTTTGCATGAGGAACAAGATGCCGCCCGGACCAAACAAAAACAATATTTATATTGCTGGGAAGGGGGGGAGAAGGGGTCCCTCCCAGTGCCGCCAGATAATATTGGGCTGTGTGGAACATGCTAGAGTCGATTTGTAGATGACCCACTATGTTTGACACTGGTTGAGCATAATGATTATGGTTATAATGTTAAAAATCGGATTTAAACGGCATGATTTTTGACATTTACGAGGAGGCGCAAAAACTCAAGGGGGGGGGGGAGGAACTCAAAATCATGATGCAAAGCGCGTCAATGCGTCTCTCTCACTTAGCCCATGATTGACTTAAAAACATAATAATTGTTTACAATAAACGATGTTATAGACAAATAAACAATAGACATTATAAAAATATATTGCAAGTTCATGAGTTTTAACGAATAGAATTTCTAAATTATAACTATTTATAATTTAGTATGATTAAAAGCTCATTTAATGACGGAGGGGACGGGGAGTGCTGGGAAACCAATGGTTAGCGCGTGCGCGTTGTATCATAAGGTCTGCCATTGAGTCAACTGGCGTGGTTTCGATTCCCCGTTTTTTCGAGACAAGGAGTAGGGTGGCCTTTCCAACCTTGTGGGTTTTTTCCGAGTCCTCCGGTCTCCTCCCACTGCTAAAGACCCCTAAGCGCAAGCGAATTATTGAAATAAAATTGAACCATATATTGATCCCGAAATGACCTAGTTTGTGTCTGTGTCGAGCGGACCTTAAACCCCATTTCTCTCTCTCTCTCTCTCTCTCTCTCTCTCTCAATTTAATGACGACATATAATTCTGGCTTGATACTTGGAAACATTTTAATTGATAAGGGTTTTTTGTGGTGTTTGAGAGCAAACCCAAGGCTGAAATTATGATTGACATTCATTTTAATTGATATGTTTTTTTTTGCGCTATTTAAAAATGAATCACTCGTGAGAGCAGATACAAAGCTGAAGTTATGAATGACATTCTTTTTGCCCGGCGTATTGGTAATAAAAATGATACGTTCAATGATCAAAGGGATTATGTTTCGCCGACAAACAGGTAAATTAATCGGAACAAATTGGTTGTGAGGATTCCGTGAGAGGAGATAATGACGTCACAGAACATTAATTATACGTAGTGTGAAATTGACAATAAATAAATTAATTTAAATGATTTTCAGGGGCTCGTTATCTACACCTTTACGAGGGGTTTGACCCCTTCAGGTGTGAAATATCTCACGTGAGCAGGTCAAGGTTACAGATCAAGAACAGGATAACTCGTCGATTAATTTGGATTAGGACAAAACAGGTGTAATAATCAGACGAGTTTTAAATAAAACAATTAATTAATCTGATATTTTTTTTTATCGATTGGCAATCCTTTCATAATTTCCTAATTCTAAAACAAAACTGTTCTGCTTGGTGTGTGTGTGTGTGTGTGTGTGTCCGTTAAAACCCACCCACCTTCTCTGAGTTAAATACTTTTTTTGTAGATTCAGTTAATGTTTTCTCCGGGTCATGCATGTCTTATTATAATGTCGGTTTCAGTCTATGTTTTGCCCTACATTTTTCCTACAGTGTCTGTTTATTGATTCGGGCCACGTGTACATCATTTTCAACATGGTGGTAAATCATTTAAACAAATTAAATAGATTGTTTATATTTTCATCGTGTAATGAACGTGTAATAATCATTAGTTAAATCACCTCATTAAAACACAGTCAATGTTTATGTGTTTATTGCACGTGACATTTATATGGCCACGTGGTAATTTAAAATTATATATATTAGCTTACATTGGTTTTATACGAAATTAATTGATTTACCAATAGCTACGCGAAGTAAATGTACGAAACTATCGTGTATTGATAATCTAGAAGACGTGTGTATCGTGAAAATAAGGAATTTGAATTATATTAAGTTTAGCGTTAATCACTTATATACGAAATTAACTGGTTAAGCAAACAGACACACTACGAAACTATCGGATCTGTTTACAATTCAGACATACATTATGTAGTCCGATACTTTTTCGTATATAACAACTTAAAATTCTAGACTAGGCTTACAAGAAATTATTTTATTAAATAACAAATACCTACAAATGTATCAGGCCCCTCTAGGCCCATATGAAATTATTTAAAAAGATACTCAAAGTAAAAATACGAAACTTTCCTAAGTGTGCATAATTTTGGACACGTATATAATGTGTTATCGTGTGACTTTATGATTATATAATAATATTACATGAAGCTCGGCGTCTCATCTATAGAGAACCTGTGGTTAAAAGAAGTAAAAAGACAGATAATTTTGGATACCCGCCATGATACATATGATTGTATAATAGTGCACTTTTAACACTAAGTATATATGCACTTAGCGCTACAAAAAGTCTAATGACATTATGTACGGTTTATGTGTTGTATCAGTTTTTATGTCTCATAGTATTCTTTAAGCAGGTATGTTATAAAAAAACCATGCAATAAGTCTGGTGCGCCTTTAAATCTTTAACATCCGATGTAAATCAGCCAAAAAAAAAAAAAAAAAAAAAAACCCTTTCAAAATTGCCATAGTGTCAAATCAAACGAACAGTCAACCATTGATAAGAATCGTATCGATAAAAAGTGGTTTACAAGACATCAGCTATTTGTGATTCTATAATCAATAATATTACACGATTCTCAATAAAAATCGATTCATTATGAACGGTTCTCAGAAGCATTATCATTTCCTCTCGATTAGCTTGAAACCATTGAGCAAATACTCTTCGAAACGTCGTCCAAATATATTAGTAGCCGTTTTCCAGAAGTAGTTGTTATTGTTTATTCCTTTGGATTTATTTAATAAATTAAACTCTGTATTAATTTGTTGAAATCAAAATTATCAAGAAACTTGTTTACGGAATTTGTAAACAAATCCGGTCTGAAAAACAGATGTAATCCGAATGTTCTTTTTAGACAACTCGTCTCACCCATGTATTTCAATAATAATAAAAAGCAACGTTTGGCTATACAAAATGATAATTCATGGTCGACGCGTTTAACCTGTGATTATTCATATAGCCTGTACACATAAATAATACCCATATCAATTCAAGTGGCAAACAGAAGACATGCGCGCTCTCTATTTTAATACGAAACTAAGTCTAATATATCAAATTACACAAATTGTTACGAAACTAATTAAACTGTCACTTGTAAACAATGAACCCCCTCATGCCTCGTTAAGGGAAGTTATGCAGTAGGGGGAAGGGACGCCCTGCTGTCCCTCCCGGGGAGAAGACACTATGTACACAAGTAGCTAACAGTTCCTCAATCATCATGATAATTAGCCTCGGTGTAATTTATACGCTTTATAACACAATAAACAATTTATCAACTAGACGTCATGAGAGCACCATCGATATTTTCACACCGATATAAAAATTGATTCAAACTGATTCAAAAGAAAATATCAACAATATTTATTCGATCGATATTCACAGAATTTAAAATAAATTTGTTAGTATTGGCAAGTAACGATCTAATAAATAATAATGAACATACTCTTTAAGTCGCATTTAGCGATTGAGAAACACATTAATAGAAAAATGGGCTAGATAACGATACGAGAATATTTGTCGAAACGTCGTGCTTTTAGAATAAAACTAATCGATGTTTCCATAAAAATTGTATTCTGTTAAAATATGAATTTGCATAAAGGGTTTCAATATGAGTTTGTAATTTATATTTTGTACATTTTGAAATATCAATGAAAAATAGATCAAGCAAATCCAGAACATACACTATTGTAGACTGGACCCTGTTCAATAAAGAACTTAATAAATGCCAGAAATAAAGATATGTTGCTATACGGGTTATGTAATTTTTTTTTGCTTCAATGTCAATGCAGATCAAATGAAAGTCTTGAACGTGTTTATGTGTGTGTGTGTGTGTGTGTGTGGTTTTATTTAGCGTCCGCTTCCAACTAAGTGATATCGCACGACGTATATAACTATGCGGTATTATGAAATATTCAATATGTTGTAGTATCAATTATACAAAAAAAATTATGTGAGGTACTTTCAAATATGTTACAATATCAATTATAAAATATTAATTTGAGGCACTCTCAAATATGTTATACATCAATTATAAAATATTAATATGAGGCACTCTCAAATATGTTATACATCAATTATAAAATATTAATATGAGGCACTCTCAAATATGTTACAATATCAATTATAAAATATTAATTTGAGGTACTCTCAAATATGTTACAACACCAATTATAAAAAAAGCTAATTTGAGGTACTCAAATATGTTACAATATCAATTTAAAAATATTAATTTTAGGTGCAAGTACTATCAAATATGTTGTAATATCAATTATAGAATTTAATTTAAGGGTTTGAACCGAAATGATAGCTTCTGTGATAGTTTGTGTCGATATCATTAGATATTTTATTTGTAATTTTGTTATATATAGGAGTTAAAAAAAACTGATATGTTCGTTTGACTTAATCCTAAACACATCATTGAAATAAAACAAAATAACCCCACTACCTCAGGAGGACCACACTAGACGCAAACACACTCCATAAGACAAACATGAGGACAAAACGGCAGCCTGATACAAAAATCCTAAAACGTCAATATGGTTTACATTGTCAAAATAGCTCATAGAAACAAATCCTACAAAAAAGTGAATTTTAGGGATATATTTTCGATTATAAAAAACAATACAGTATAATATAGTATAATAATTTATAATATTTATTTGTGTCTTACAGCAATGTGTAGGTGTTTATAGTTGACTTTATAAAACAAAATTTTATATTTTGGAATATCGAAGGGGTTTTTAGGTACAAGAACCCAACAATCTATATCCTTCAGAGTAATTAGTCCGGCCCTGAATTCAATAAATATATTTATCAAAGGATCCATACAATGGTTTAATTCAACATAATATAGATAGATTTGATTTTTAAATCTGATAAATGAAAGCAAATCAACCAATGATCTTCTTGAGAAGAAGTACAAAGCCCGAGGTTTTCTGATTCTAATTAATGTTTCATTTCTGACCTACTTAATTATTGCCCCTTGTCAATTTTAAAAATGAAGGAATAATTATTTAGTCAACATAAAAGATTGTCCTTAAATATCCTCACAAGGCACACATACGATAATAATTTTCTCTCGCTATTTTAGCAATTACAATACTTGAAACTCACAAAACGCCCATTTAAAAATAAATAATAATAATAATCGACTCTAAACAGTTAGTAGTTAAATAAATAGAGCATCGGACGAATTAACATGATTTATTTAATGTAAAAAAAATTGCCAAATCATTATTATGCAAAGGGCTATAGATAAGAAATGTAAAATAATAAACCAATCTTTGGATTAAGGAACTATGCGTTATGTTTTAAATGCATAATGTCATAGTATTGACGGGGTTATAGATAAGAAATGTATGCCATTGGTGTAAAATATGAAATCTATCCATATTAGGACTAAGAAACTATGCATTATGATTTTAAATACTAATATATCGTTGGTGTTCATTGTTTATCTATAAACCAGTGAATATTATATATTAATGTCTTTATCGGGACTAAGAAACTATGTATTATGTATTTAATATCGTATTTTTCGCAAGATTATAGATAAGGAATAAATGCCAGTAAAGAAAGAAATCTATCCATATTAGGACTATAAAACTATGCATTATGTTTTCATTGAAATATACCTTGATGTCTTTAAAAGTGAAATAACAATTGGACTTAATCGCTTAAATGTAAATTACGTGTCTTGATGTCGAAATCCTTTTTTAATTTCAAATCTTAATACAGAATAGCACGCGTGTACATGGATTAATGTTTTGTTGTTTTTTTTGTGAATGTTTTACATAAGAGAATTGATAAACTACATACATATAAATTTGATTAAATAAATAAAAAAAATATTAAAAAAAATATTGATATATTACCATTTGTCTCACCTTGCGGTCGCCATGGTTGAGGAAGCACTCCGGGCCAGAAGATGGGTTGGCGACCAGGTAATTCGGCAATCTTCGGAAACTGAACTTGAGGACTGAGGTACATTCCGGCGTTAAATCGAGGCATCCCAAGTCCGTTTAAAGCCCGACGATTTAATATATCGGTTATTCCGTGTGGCGTTGATTGCGCCGCTAATTGTTGCATGTGTTTCAGATTTTGCTCATATTCTGCCGTGGACATAATTGATGATGTGGCTGGAAATTTCATTTCTGTTAGATTATGTAAGGCGGCGAGTGGAGGACTGGATAAGACGAATGTACTCTGTCTTGAGGTTTCCATGTTCTGGTTTAAGATGGAGTTCATGGAGGGGTTGGAATTAGCGTAACCCGCTGAGGTATCGTTAGAACAGTAGTCCAACATACTCGGGTCGTAGTCGCCTGGCTCCGTCAGTTTGAGAGTCTTAAATCGCTTCAAAATTACTCACAAAATGTCGCTGGTTAATTCATAAAACTGTATCTACCTCTCCTCGTAAAGTAGATATTACACTTCTCCAAAACAACGATCACCTCTAAAAATAACACTGATAATTCTCTCAAAACTATTGTCAACATAACCTAGTGCACCATAACAGATATGTGTAACTCCTAGTTGTCTTCTTGTTTTCCCTTGCTGCACGTTCAATCATTCAATTAACTTTAAAAACCTTCAAATCACATTAAAATACTATGTGTGTGAGATACGATGACGGTTTAATAAAGCCTTGTCTCTCCGCTGACGACTGACTAAAACCTCTTAACTCTTCTCCTTCACTAACACGCAGATAGTAATGTACAATTCTCGAGCTATCAATCATAACCTCACGCGCTCTTTATCGTGTTTATGTTCCACAGGGGGATGGACTAGTCAATGATTGGAGCGCGTTGATTGGTCGCTGTGCGGTCCATATTGACGCCTTGACATGTTAAGTGGAAGGCAATTGGTCAGAAAGATGTCTACGATAAACAATAATTAAGTTTAACGTATTAACTGTCCGTTCATGAAATCAATGTATTGTTTGTCTCCATGTGTTCTTGAAGAGAATAGAAAAAAATTAATAAAAAGAAAAATAATATTTTAAGACAAAACAAGATTCCATATTTATTCAAGTTTAAATTTACAAACTAAACATATTATGGATCAATAAAATGGATATTGTTAATTATTATTGCGAATTAATGACTCAGATTTGAACAATATTCGTAAAAATTATATGACTGTCGTATGCCGAATTCTCTAAAATATATTTATCAATTAGTAAAATTGAAATCTCTTTAAAGAAAAATAACAGATTTTATTCTGAAATAGACTAATATTTTGTTCTGATGTTGATGTATGAATGTTTAGCTAATAATAACCATAGGAGGGATTTCTTGTTGTTGTTGGTAGTTGTGTTTAACGTCCGCTTCCACCGAGGGTGATATCGCAGAAGGATTTATATACAAACATTGGTTAAATAGACAAGGAAGCCCTGTACTTACTATTTAAAGTCTTTGGAATATGAAATAAAAATATTAACATTGCTTTCGAAAATGTATGAATTTTCGGGGAATAACCCTTGCATAATTCAACGAAGGGGTGTCTATATATAGAAGGAAACTTCCTGTACTTAATAGTGCAAGTTTAATGAGTTTGAAATAATAATAATATCCGAAAGGATAAAATGTGTTGACAATTATCTGGAAAATAAACGCAGCACTAGGACAAGACAAATTTGGGTTATTCAATCTGCATTTTTCACTCGAATGGATTTCATTTGTTTCTCTAAAATGCTCTCTGAATTGAATATATTTGTTTAATTTCAAACCTAAGCGAGGAAATGAATCCGATGATTCTGTATCAGAATCATTGAATATAAAAATTATCAGCAAAAGCTAACAAGTAAGTCTTGCCCCTCCCCCTAAACCTGACCCATTTTCTCCAGTTTCTAAACAATAACAAATGAAAGTGGTTAATATTTCGTTTACCAGAAGCTGAGGCCATGTTTTGCCATATGGCATGATATATACAACTGATTGATACGAATATTGCATATAAACGGATTTATATAAGACAGTAGATTTTGTCTGCGATAACACCCTTGGTAGAAGCGGACGTTAAACAACAGTCAATAGATTGTAAACTGGTTACGAGAATAGGCCCAAGACAACTCATAAAAAAACCCAAACAATTATATATATATATATATATTTCCATATTTTGACTTAAATATTTCAGAATAGAAAATAAATTATAATTGACTACCAGTACAGACACAGAATAACCCTTAAAACATAGCACAATTAATGATATATTTCCATATTTAACCTGAACCAAAAACAAAACGAAATATATTTAACGAAAACACACGTATGGCCTGTTTTACAAAATTCATCAAACAAGTTCGTTAATGAAAACAGTTTTAGTAATAATTCTATTATTCTACTTTGATAAAAAAAACGCAGAACAATATTTATTACAAATTCTATTTTTCGGTTCAGAAAAACTGAAGAAATTCCAAATTTTATGTTTAATTAAGATGTTAAGTGTGCTTAGAGTATTAATTACAAAGGGGAGATAATCGGGGGTTGATTATTTGCCCCGGTTTAATCGTCTACGGTCTCAGGCTGTCAAATTAATGCTGATTTACAACCAAAAGATTCTAATAATACATATTAATCGACAGCCAGTAATTCCAAGACGAGAATATTCTATGTCTTCTTTTTCTGTTTCTATGGTAACTCATTTATCGTCGTCTCGATGAAGTGGTTGTATTTAAGATGGAGTTTTGTTATCGTTTGCCATTGTTAACAAACTGAGGCCTGTACCCCCAAATCTATTCTACACTCATTCGACATGTATTATTCTCCCCGTCAATAAACGCACATAAATCCGTATTAATTTCCAGCCATTCTTGTCCAACTTTTAGTCGTCTATTCAGGATTTAAATCTCCCCTGATATCATTAAATTCAAAGCACGCATATTAAATTTGTTTGTATTCAAGATTTTTATTCACACGTTGAACGTCATGATAAACCTATCTACACATACACTATTCTGAATAATTATTATCCATCACACTTATGTAAACATTTAAAAACAATAAAATGTTTTAATTTTGAAGTAAGGACAGAGGCCTCTTGACATATTAAAGATGGCCAACGTTTGCCATAGACCTATATATTATACACTATTATGAATAATTTTTATCCATCACACCTATGTAAACATTTAAAAAAACAACAAAATATTTTAATTTTGAATTAAGGACAGCAACCTCTTGATATATTAAAAATGGCTACCATTTGCCAATGAGAAAAAAAATCACCCTTATTCACACATTGAACGCCATGATAGACCTATATATTATACACTATTATGAATAATAATAATCCATCATACATATGTAAACATTCCAAAAACAACAAATTATTTTACTTTTTTTAAAAAAAAAGGACATATTAAACAAAGTAGATTAAAGATTGCTACCTTGAACGCCATGATATTATACCTATTGGCGTGCACGTAAAATAACCCTTGGCGGTTGGATGTCGAAATAAGAGTAGGCATTAGCGCCGATGTCCAGGCAAAAAATATATACACATAGACTAGAATGCATAGTTACAATTCATCACACATATCAAAGCATTTTCAAACGACAAATTAATTCAATTTTGAAATTAGGACAGAGACCTCTTGACACCTTAAAAAAAAGTCATACCATGAAATGATATGGGGTTTAACGTCCTACTGTTCTGCTCCGACTGGGCTAATGAAATGGGGTTTAACGTCCTGGGTTAATGAAGACGGGAAAAAAATGGTTACGGCTTGTCATTGAGCAAAAAATCTCAACCTATTTGGAATCTATCAATCAGGGAAGATCTAAACCCCTGCAATACACTAAACAATGTTTAAAAAGTGTTCTTTTTCAGAAGTGTTTGGAAATCGTAAAATTATTATATACCATTGTTTTAGAACTATTTTTTTAATATAAATTTTTCGAATAGATATTATTGTTATACTTCTCAGCACCAATTGAAGGAGTGCTTTAATAATCTTTAATAAATAGTTATATTTCATTCGTGATATGACTAATGAATAAACAAAAAATATTGGTTTCACGAAGAAATAGAAAAACATAAATTAGATAAATATACATCTGAAACGATTAAGAGAAATGTATATGAAAAATATTCAAGTCTTTTAAACATTTTTACGAAATTTTGTGCTATCCCAGTGGTTATTAAATCATTGTAAATATTCCAAACTGTGGAAGTCGTAAGCGAAATGCTTTTCAACACTTCAATTAATTATTTGTGTAAGAAAATATGTTGTCATTTGTAAATGTGTATGATTAAGATATCGTGTAATTTATAATAGTAGAGAAGAAATAAAACTAGGAATAGTTCTCCTGTCGTTAACTTTACTAATTGTTTAATCAATGGCAGTTAATTCCCGCGACAAGAATATCAACAACACCTTGGACTGGCAGGTGGTAAAGGTTGGTCTCTGCAGTTACATCGACACAATAATCATAACGTGGAATAGAACCGGTTTAACGTGTAATAACAAAAGAGGAGAATATTGCCCAGACAGCGACTTTTTAATTCATTTTTTTTTGCCCCCCCCCCCTGTGGAACGTGCAATACAACGAAAGAGGAGAATATTGCCCAAGCAGCGACTTTTTCATTCATTCTTTTTTTGCTCCCTGTCAATGGATCGTCACAATAATCATTAACGTAGAATAGAACCGGTTTAACGTGCAATACAACGAAAGAAGAGAATATTGGATAGGCAGCGACTTTTCAATTCATTTTTTTAGCTCCCTGTCAATGGATCTTCAAGGTACACTGATAAGACACACACACGTGGTACATATCACCTTGGGTTTTGTTCCATCTGTACGATTAGACAATTAGTCGTTCGGATGGTACGAAAAACCGAGATCCGGTGTACAAATTGGCGTGCACGTAAAATAACCCCTGACAGTTGGAATTCGAAAAAAGAGTACGCCATAGCGCCACTGTCCAGGCAAAATGTCCCTCATAACACACCGCATGGCGTATACCCGTCTTCATTCAACAAGTCGGAGCAGAAAAGTTGCACGTTAAACCCCATTTCATTTCCCGATTTGAAAATCGTTATTTCTGAGACGTGGAATGTAGATTTCTTCTCGGCTCGTGTCGAAATTCAAATCCTTCTTTATAACGTGGGTCGGTATATTAAATGAGAAACATTATTGGATGCTTTCAGAAAGACTATAAGCTTACACTGCCCGGTGCTCGACACCCACGGTTACTTAATATAATTATAATATATGGAAACAATATTTCGAGTAAAATAGCCCCAGTTTGAATCCCGGCATGGGCAGCGATGAACCGCAACTAGTTTTCAAACCCGGTCCCCACTTGTCACTGCTGGCGCCTAAGCCGTTGAATAGGAAAGTGAACCTACTCCTTCGGATGGGACGAAAAATAGAAATACTGATTGGATGTTCGTATAAAATGTTTCACGCTTTGTTGAAATTCAACACAAACGAGACCACCACGAACAATGTTTTTGAAATCTAACAAGTTTGATCTCGCGAACATTGTTTGACCAACAAATGTTCGTGTTGAAATCAGGCCCGTAACTAGGGGGCGGACGCAGAAGTTTCGCCTCCCCCGTGAAAAAAAAAATTGTCGACCATATAAACAATAGATATACATTGTCCGTCAATTTTACAGCACCCCTGAGAACACTTCCCGCCCCCCTCGTTGCTCTGAGCTTGTTACGGATTTTATCTTAGTTAAAATTTCG